TACAAAAAAAATTATGCGAAGCCAACCGTATGGCTTTTCTTCTTGTGTTTTCAGAACGTTTTAACTTGGCAAACAGCAAACTACAACACATATCTATCGACATGCAAATGTGTTCGGTTCAAATGTGGATAAAGGGACATTTCTGCGGAGATAAAAGAGTTAGGCCGTGTCTCTGCAGGCTGGCGATCTCTGCCCGTTGTTTTCTAACACTGCGCATGCGTAATGAGAAGCTACATGGGCGACCGGATCGCCCACTGGCTCGCCGATAGACGACTTCATCGCCGGTAGGAACAGTATTTGGGTCCATCTGCTTTGATCGCATCAAGACTGCAGGAGTTTTAGTTAGGGCTCTTGGTGGCATGCAATACTAGGCCATGTTATTGGAGCCACATGTCGGTCGGTCCGTCCGTCCATCTGTCTATCCGTCTATCCGTCCGTCCATCCGTCCGTCCGTCCGTGTGTCTATCCGTCCGTCCGTCCTTCTGTCCGTCCGTCTGTCCGTCCGTCCGTCCGTCCGTCCATCTGTCTATCCGTCCGTCCGTCCGCCCGCCCGCCCGCCCGTCCGTCCGTCCGTCCGTCTGTCTGTCTGAATCAGATATTTCGCAGTCCTAAATTTGTTTGTCTGTTTGTCGGTCTATCTTTATGTTTCTCTCCCTCCCCTCTTCTTTCCCTCTATCCTCATTCTCACTTTCGACTTTCAACCTCTGCCCCCCCCCCCCCCCCCCCCCCCCCAACCAGCCACGCACACGTGCATTCTCCCAAACAACCAATTTAATTCAGTATCCGATGATTACAACATTATGTTACTGCCCGGGCTTTTACTGTAAGCACCCTGTTATTGCCGACAACACAAGTGTCGACGTGTTTACTGTAAAACTCCCCTGTGGACGCTGATTATGTAACTGTCTAAATTTACTGTTTGTAGTTTGACGTTGCGAACGCGCTTCAGAATGCCGGGATGCAGGTTCAGGTTCGAACCCAGCTGCAGGCGATTTGGCAGCAGACCACCTGTTGGTTTCAACATGGGTATCGACCTTCCAGAGAGCAATGGCAAACTACTGGATGTAAATTTGCCTAGAAAACTCACAACAGTAAAAAAAATATGGCTGGTGTTGGCTCCGCCACGTCATGTGACAGTTACGCACCTGGAAGCACTCTCTGATATCTGACTACATTCAATCTGTACCCAAACAGGTCTGCATACTGGGCGATTACCACCCCATGACTCAAAGATTTACTATACGGATGAATCGCCCAGACTAAAATCATAGAAACCCCGATCAACTTTAAGGTTATAAAGGTGCCCCAACACTTACGAAATAACCAAAAGTCCAGGTACCAGGGCGAATGTGCAACTGTCCTTTCATTTAATGTCTCCATCATTGGCGCTAAAAATCTGGGGCTTCAAGCACCTTAAGGCAAACCCCCCCCCCCCCCACCCCGCTGTTGCTACCACTACTACTACAACCACCACGGTAACCACCACTACCGTCACCTCTATCATCATTATCACCGTCACCTCCAATCTTCTTCTGCTACTGCTTCTACTATTACAACTACTACTACTGCGACTACAACCACCACTACCACAATTACTATCACTACTACTACTGCATCAACAGTAACATATCTGCAGCTACTACTACTAAAACCACCAGCATCACTACATCCTCTTTCAATTTATTTTTCAACTCTTCTTTCGCCAATTAACCCCTACAGCTTGTAAATAACAAAGCACACAACACATCATTTGTACAAATATAAAAACCACTATACCGAACCGAAACTTGACAACTGCACGTGCCAAAATAGCCCTCCACAAACAAAAGTCTGGCTGGCTCATAATAAGCTGTTGTTTTGGCTCATTTGTACCAGCGTCAAGCGCCCGGTCATACATTTCCATTAGCAATGAATAGGTCTGTTTGATTCTGATTTCTCTCGCCATGACGTCAGTTAGCACAAAACAGCGAGCCCCGTGCCGAGAGCCAGAATTTGTAAAGTGGGAGAAAACTGTGGTCGGGAATATGTTAACCGTTCCGTGGGAACGGTTTGGTAAAACTGTGTCTACAGAGGGAAATGTAGATGGTAATAAATAAATAAATAAATAAAAAGGTCATTTGTGCATAAGTATTTTTTTTAATGTGTTGGTTTTAGTGTGTTTAAATCAAAGCGTTTCCGTGTGGGGTCCAGGGAAAATAAAGAATAGACAGACTGCCTCCGCACAAGCATGTCGTAAAGGTTAAGAAAGTGAAGAAGAAGAAGAAAGGACGGACGGACGGAATGGAGGAAAGAAAGAAAGAAAGAAAGAAAGAAAGAAAGAAAGAAAGAAAGAAAGAAAGAAAGAAAGAAAGAAAGAAAGAAAGAAAGAAAGAAAGAAAGAAAGAAAGAAAGAAAGAAAGAAAGAAAGAAAGAAAGAAAGAAAGAAAGAAAGAAAGAAAAAAAGAAAAAAAGAAAAAAAGAAAGAAAGAGAGGGAGGAAGGAAGAAGAAGAAGAAGAAGAAGAAGAAGAAGAAGAAGAAGAAGAAGAAGAAGAAGAGAAAAAGAAGAAGAAGAAGAAACAAATACTGTCAGCGACAGCCTTCAACATCAAAATGGCCACCCAAGAGACAGAGGACGACACAAAAGATGATTTGAAGAAATTACTGACAGCCTAACAGACTGTACATTATCATTGTGATGAGGTGCTGTGCATGGTCTTCGCGATTACATTGTGGCAAGCAGAAAGTCCGTGCAACAAGGGACAGCACGAGATACTTGTGCCTAGTCGAGGAAGCGAGGGAACCCGAGCTAGCCTCGTAGTCAGTCGATCATGAGAAGTCAGAGAAGACGGTTGTAGTAATTGAAGATGTCGTCTTTATGTCGCGAGAATGGTTAATGTTCGAATATGTCGCGAGTGATAAAGTGTAAATAATGTTTGAACATGTGAAATAAATGGACCAGAATAAACTGATAGAATGTACAAAGAAGCTGAGCGGCGTTCGTGTTGTCAACCCTAGACGTTAAAGCAGTGCAAGTTTTGTAGCAGTAAACATCCAGAGAGTGAGCCGTGGCGAAAGCCAATAGGTAGTGAGTCAAGGTGCATGACGAGTAAAGCCGGTGCAAACCATAGTTCATTACAATCATAGAATAGCAAACCACCAAGCGGGCCCTGGCTCGACAGTCTCTCTGTCAACTGTTGAACCGCAGTTCCCAGTGCTACACAACAGACATGACAAAGATTGACTGTTCAAATGATAGAGGATCGGCTCTTTTGCATCCGATTTTATCATTCTATATGTCTAGGTACCTCTTTTTAAATCAATTTGTTGCCTACCCAAAGTGTTGCATAAAGCACTAACTCGATAACTCCAACAAACCCAAGGATGCCAGAAACAACTGCACTAGTCAATAGGACGAGGCAGTGCAAAATCGAACCAACAACCTTCATAGCTAAGGTATAGCCCAAATGCCACCATTCCTCAGTATATTTTGTCTCCAAGCTTCAGCTGGACCTTTCACTGTTCACGGTTTTGCGCCACAAAGAGGCTGTCTTTGCCATTTTAACGATACGACGCTCATACAGTAATGACCGAAATAGTGTGGGTGTGTGTGCGTGCGTGTGTTTATGTGTTTCCTGTCCGAAATATTACTTGAAGGTCTGGCCTATCTACCCTGAGAATTCAAGAATAATATTCTCTTTTTTTGGAAACTAGCAGAGCAAGCCAGAGTATTCATCTTAACGGAATTGGGTAAACCGTAACACGTAAGCATTGTATGAAGTTTGAACAACAGATCAACATCATAGCACGCCGGTAGTAACCCATAATAGCTTCGTTCTTTCTTTCAACTCAAGTCTGAGTCTGAAGAAGCTCAGCACAGTGCACAGACTCTGTAGCACCGGCGAGGATCCTGAAATACTTTTGGGTAGATTTTTAACTCTAAATTTTTGAACGGGCAGCGCCGTTAGGCTACTCTTTTTTATTTCCAACTGCCAGGGGATTTCTTTTTTACGTGCGCAACAATGCACACGGGCGTCAGATCTCACTACCCAGAGAGACCAGGGGGAAATTACTAGAAGTCCAAGTCCACGTGAAAAAAAATACCAGTCTTTACCGGGGATTGAACCCGGAACCTCTAGCCCTCGAGGCGGACACCATGCCTCGAGAGAACACAGCTCCCCTCCCTCCCGCATCAACGCACTGTGTAAGCCTGCAGTAGCGTGTACTGTAAAGGATATGGCGCCACAGTGATATCAAAACCACAACAAAATTTCACAGCTGTAGGCCATCCACATCTGACAGGAACTGTCAACACAAAAATGCACTCTTGGGATCGGCTTGAGGCAAACAAAACAGATAAAGGTCAGCAGAGCTGACCCTGCCACTACCAGACTGAATCCAGGAGTCAACAAACAGAGCAGTCACCCAGATATCCAGGTCAACATCTCAGCACGTGATAGGCTTGTCCTGGTCGTGACCTTACTGAATACCCCAGCTCTTGCTGGACAAAGAAGTGGCTTAGCGATACTCTTAGGTTCTTGTCAAAGTAAAATGTAAAGGGACAATTTTCACACAAGAAGAAGAAAAAGAAGAAGAAGAAGAAGAAGAAGAAGAAGAAGAAGAAGAAGAAGAAGAAGAAGAAGAAGAAGAAGAAGAAGAAGAAGAAGAAGAAGAAGAAGAAGAAGAAGGAGGAGGAGGAGGAGATACAGCAGCAGCAGCAGAAAAAGAAGAAGAAGAAGAAGAAGAAGAAGAAGAAGAAGACGACAAAGGAGGAGGAGAAGAAGATACAGTAGCAGCAGCAGCAGTAGCAGCAGCAGCAGCAGCAGCAGAAGAAGAAGAAGAAGAAGAAGAAGAAGAAGAAGAAGAAGAAGAAGAAGAAGAAGAAGAAGAAGAAGAAGAAGAAGAAGAAGAAGAAGAAGAAGAAGAAGAAGAAGAAGAAGAAGAAGAAGAAGAAGAAAAAGAAGAAAAATAAAAAGATCATGAGACACATCAATTATTTGCCTTCAGACACAGATATACTCACCGGTGTTAGGGTCGATAGTAAAAAAGTTCTGAGGATTGCCGCTGGTAATTGAAAACAGTAAGGGTTGCGAGCCGTCATCGTCGCCATCCGTGGCTTGAATCTGCACAACGTTCTTAATGATGCTGTTGTTTTCCTGCAGGCAATAACAAAAACAATACAGCAATTCTGTAAGCACAGAACAGCAATACTATGAGCACAGAATTGCAATACTATGGCCACAGAACAGCAACACTATAAGCACATAACAGCAATACTATAAGCACAGAACAGCAATACTATAAGCACAGAACAGCACTACTTTAAGCACAGAACAGCACTACTATAAGCACCGAACAGCACTACTATAAGCACAGAACAACACCACTATAAGCACAGAACAACACTACTATAAGCACAGAACAGCAACAATATAAACACAGAACAGCAACACTATAAGCACAGAACAGCAACACTATAAGCACAGAACAGCACTACTGTAAGCACAGAACAGCACTACTGTAAGCACAGAACAGCACTACTGTAAGCACAGAACAGCACTACTGTAAGCACAGAACAGCACTACTATAAGCACAGAACAGCACTACTATAAGCACAGAACAGCAATACTATAAGCACAGAACAGCGATTCTGTAAGCACAGAACAGCGATACTATAAGCACAGAACAGCACTACTATAAGCACAGAACAGCAATACTATAAGCAAAGAACAGCACTACTATAGGTACATAACAGCAACACTATAAGCACAGAACAGCAACACTATAAACACATAACAGCACTACTATAACCACAGAACAGCAACACTATAAGCACAGAACAGCAACACTATAAGCACAGAACAGCTATACTATAAGCACAGAACAGCAATACTATAAGCACAGAACAAGCCTGTCTTACTGCGTTGCTGGTTCTTTCTTGCAGACTACTATAACAACAACAACAACATAGCAACACTGTAAGTACAAATACGTCTTTCTAGCGTTCACTAGCTGTAAACTCTGGCGGAAAGTTTTGGTCGTTATTCAATGTCTAAACGTTAGTCTTGTTCCAGAAACTGAGTTTTGCCGGCACATTCGATTCAACTTATTTGTGTGCACGTGCAGACTGTTGGTTTCTTGCCTCCCAGGCCCTCAGATTCTCAAGGAAATACTATAATTATTAGAATTTTACGACATGCTTGTTAGGGGGGACAATGGGTCTATCTTTCTGTCCTCCCGAAACTGACATGGGGGCCATAAAAAGTTAAGGCTAGCACCATATGTTATATTCGCTAATTCCATCAGAAATGAACCTTACTTGCTCCCCCTATCAACCCGCGAAGGATAGCAGGGACATACCCCCTCTCAACCCGCGGAGGATAGCAGGGACATGCCCCCTCTCAACCCGCGGAGGATAGCAGGGACATGCCCCCTCTCAGCCCGAGGAGGATAGAAGGGACATATACCCTCTCAGCCCGCGGAGGATACCAGGGACATACCCCCTCTCAACCCGCGGGGGATACCAGGGTCATACCCCCTCTTAACCGGCGGAGGATAGCAGGGACATACCCATTCTTAACCGGCGAAGGATAGCAGGGACATACCCCCTCTCAACCCGCGGAGGATAGCAGGGACATACCCCCTCTCAACCCGCGGAGGATAGCAGGGTACACACATCAGGACAGTACTTCATGTAGTTGTCACAGCTGCACCAATTATCATCTAAAATGCTGACTACGTTTCACCCAAAAGCATGTCGTAAGAGTCGACTAATTAGGGAGCTTCCTTTGAAGTCGGAGTGCATCTGCCGGAAAGGCAAGGAACCAACAGTGTGTATTCAAGAGAATGAGATCTGTAAAACTGATGCACACGCAACACTCAGGTTCTGGAGCAGGACTGCAGTTCAGTAGTGGACAAGCAACCAGAACTTTCTGCCAGAGTGTACAGCAGGTGAACGCGAGGAAGAAGAAGTATTTTGTTCTGTTGGTTTGCCATCCCGGATTCAACTATGTTAACTGTAGAAGTGGTCAGACCTTGGGCAGCAGTCAGTCAGTTATTACATTTTGGACCGGGAAACCGCTTTTTGAATATGGATAGTAACGTCAGTTATTGCCCCTTGCTCTAACAGTTTCAATAGCGGGATGCATTGAACATCCTTGAACTCTACAATATCTTTGAGCTCTAGAACACCCCTCAACTTTATAACATCGTTGAACTCTGTATCATTCTTGAACTCTATAGCACCTTTGAATGCTATAACAACCTTGAACTATAACATCCTTGAACTTTATAACATCCTTGAACTTTATAACATCCTTGAACTCTATAGCACCTTTGAACGCTATAACAACCTTACGCTATAAAAACCTTAAAATATAACATCCTTGAACTTTATAACATCCTTGAACTCTATAGCACCATTGAACGCTATAACACCTTTGAACTCTATAACATCCGCGAACTCTACAACGGCCTTGCACTCTATAGCACCATTGAATGCTATAACAACCTTGAACTATAACATCCTTGAACTTTATAACATCCTTGAACTTTATAACATCCTTGAACTCTATAGCACCTTTGAACGCTATAACAACCTTACGCTATAACAACCTTAAACTATAACATCCTTGAACTTTATAACATCCTTGAACTCTATAGCACCATTGAACGCTATAACATCCTTGAACTCTATAACATCCTTGAACTCAATAACATCCTTGAACTCTATAACATCCGTGAACTCTATAACATCTGTGAACTCTACAACACCCGTGAACTCTACAACACCCGTGAACTCTACAACACCCGTGAACTCTACAACGGCCTTGAACTCTACAATCCACATGTTGGCTCCGTGGTTCTTTTATTTTGCGAGGGTTGGGGGGGGGAAGGGGGGGAGAGAGACACGGCCCCTCTACAAGCACATGTCGTACAAGGCCGCTAATTGGGGATGTTTCCTGGAGTGCGTCTGCCTGAGAAGCGAGGAATAAATAGTCTGCATACACATAGGCCAGATTGTAAAACAGATGTGTACGCAAAACTCAAGTGCTGGAACAATACCAAAGTCCAGAAATGGACGAACAACCAGATCCTTCCACTGTAGTTTATATTTGGTGAACGCTAAGAAGAAGAAGAAGAAGAAGAAGAAAAAGAAGAAGAAGAAGAAGAAGAAGAAGAAGAAGAAGAAGAAGAAGAAGAAGAAGAAGAAGAAGAAGAAGAAGAAGAAGAAGAAGAAGAAGAAGAAGAAGAAGAAGAAGAAGAAGAAGAGGACGAGGAGGAGGAAGAAGAAGAAGAAGAAGCTCCAACAGCATTGATCACTACAACATCCTTGAACTCTCCAATATCCTTGAACACTACAATATCATTAACTCTACAACATACTAACCTCCACAGAAGCATAGTAAGCCGGTTCCAGACTCAATGGAATCTTCTCGTTGACGTCGATGACCTCAATGAGAACTTCGAGGCGTGCAAACTGGGGCACCAAGGCTCGGTCCTGAGCGATGACCGTAAGCCAGTAGTGAGGGGCCGTCTCTCTGTCCAGAACTTGTGAAGTTCGGATTGTGCCTGCAGAAAACAAGGAAACAATAATGTCAATACAGAACTCGAAAGGGGATTAGGACATAGGTAGAGTCGGACATGTACAAACGGACGGATATTGACACTGACGGACATACAGGCATAATGGTGAGTTTGGAAGGGGGGAGAGACAGAAGATTTTACTGAGGCTGTAACCACCTTGCTATGCGTCTGTGGAGCTAAAGATCTCGTAGAGTTCAAGGATATAGTGGCGTTCAAGGATGCTCTAGAGTTCAAGGGTTTCATGCAACCTACCAGACAGACAGGTGGATATGGAGGAAAGTTACCGAAGCACACCAGAGTGAAGCTGAGATATGAGACACTGACACGTATCCTCCCACTGACCTCGGCTCTCAGATCGACCCCAAAATTAAATAAAAGACTCTTTTCCAAGTTTATGAAAGAAGTTAAAAGGAACCTACAGCGGCGCAAAGATTAGAGCTTAAATCGTTTAAATCCCAAAACATCTTTCGATGGTCATTATTATGACCCTTATAGTGGGGGGGGGGGGGGTGATGATGATGATAGTTGTCATGATAATAACGATCTAGGAGAAGATAAACTCAACTCCCCGGTACTACAAATAGCTCTGCGGAACACTGTTTGTTAAACAAAAGGCGCCCAACCCCAGGGGGTAGATCGCATCTCGGATGCACAGAAGAACTCAGTCGCCGCTCGGTTACGGAAAGAAACCACGTCTACTAGAGCTCGTGAACAACCGTGTGTACATACTCTCTGCGTCAAAACATAGCGGGGAATAAGGTGCAAGTACTCTCTCGCCTTTATCTTAAAGACAATGCATTATCTCCCCGTGTGTGTTCCTGGGAACTATTATAGGGAAGACAAAAATAGACCCACTGCCTAGACAAAAGCATGTCGTAAGAGTCGACTAATTGGGAGCTTCCTTCGAAGTCTGGGTGCATCTGCCTGAGAGGCAAGGAACCAGCAGTCTGCAGACAAATGAGTCAGATCTGTTAAACGGTTGCACACGCAGCACTAAGATTCTGGAACATGACTGCAGTCCAGAAGCGAATGAACAACCAGAACTTTCCGCCAGAGTTTACAAATGGTGAAGAAGAAGAAAAGGAAGAATGCATTCTCGCTAGTGTCTGCATTCTGGTTGTTGCACCAGTGGCAGTGGCAACAGCGGTTGCAGTGGCAACAGCGGTGGCAGCGGCAACAGCGGTGGCAGCGGCAACAGTGGTGGCAGCGGCAACAGCGGTAGCAGTGGCAACAGCGGTAGCAGTGGCAACAGCGGTGGCAGTGGCAACAGCGGTGGCAGTGGCAACAACGGTAGCAGTGGCAACAACGGTAGCAGTGGCAACAGCGGTGGCAGTGGCAACAGCGGTGGCTGTGGCAACAGCAGTGGCTGTGGCAACAGCAGTGGCAGTGGCAACAGCGGTGGCAGTGGCAACCACGGTGGCAGTGGCAACAGCGGTGGCAGTGGCAACAACGTTGGCAGTGGCAACAACGGTGGCAGTGGCAACAACTGTAGCAGTGGCAACCACGGTGGCAGTGGCAACAACGGTAGCAGTGGCAACCACGGTGGCAGTGGCAACAACGGTAGCAGTGGCAACAACGGTGGCAGTGGCAACAACGGTAGCAGTGGCAACAGCGGTGGCGGTGGCAACCACGGTGGCAGTGGCAACAGCGGGGGCAGTGGCAACAACCTAGCGATGGCAGTGGCAACAACGGTAGCGATGGCAGTGGCAACAACGGTAGCAGTGGCAACAACGGTGGCAGTGGCAACAGCGGTAGCAGTGGCAACAGCGGTGGCAGTGGCAACAACGGTAGCAGTGGCAACAGCGGTGGCAGTGGCAACAACGGTAGCAGTGGCAACAACGGTGGCAGTGGCAACAACGATAGCAGTGGAAACAGCAGTGACAGTGGCAACGTGGCAGTGGCAACAGCGGGGGCAGTGGCAACAACCTAGCGATGGCAGTGGCAACAACGGTAGCGGTGGCAACCACGGTAGCAGTGGCAACAACGGTGGCAGTGGCAACAACGGTGGCAGTGGCAACAACGGTGGCAGTGGCAACAGCGGTGGCAGTGGCAACAACGGTATCAGTGGCAACAACGGTGGCAATGGCAACAACGGTAGCAATGGCAACAGCGGTGGCAGTGTCAACAACGGTATCAGTGGCAACAACGGTGGCAGTGGCAACAACGGTGGCAGTGGCAACAACGGTGGCAGTGGCATAAATAACATCAAATTATTTTTTTTAATCGACTTTGGCTTCCAGGTTGACCTAGCCTTAAATGGGTACCAGGTGACATTCCTGGGATGTAATGTCGGCCAGTAAGATGCTGACCATATCCCCCACCGGGTGTCGATTGGTTTATACAATCCTATATAAACCAGGCCCTATATGGCCAATAGGCTTGCACGCGGATCCAAAGGTCATGGGTTCAGACACTGGCTCCCAGACAGACCCAGCCTTGAATGGTTCTTCTTCCTCTCCTTCGTCTCCGTCTTCTCCTGATTTTTCTCGTTCTTCTTCTTCTTTTCCTCCTCCTATTTCTTTTTCTTTTTCTTTTTTTTCTTCTTTTGCTTCTTCTTCTTCTTCTTTTTCTTCTGCTTCTTCTTCTTCTGCTACTCCTGGAATGCCTCGCAGTGGTCAGGGAAGAAAGAGATCTCTGGAACGGGCCTTTCTGTTTGCTTCGTACAAAATACTTTTTAGCGTCTCTGATATTTATGAGGTCCATATTCTGTGTGATCGACCTCTAGCTCTGTTACCTCTGTATCTAACATTGCTCTCTGTGGGCCCCTGTCTGTTGCCAGTCTCGTCACATGGCCAAACCATTTAGTTTGTTGTCTACCTATAAAGTTCAGTACCGATTCTGTGCCGACTCTCCTCCTGTTGTAACCGTTTCTAATTGGATCTTTCATTGTTACACCTAGCATAGTGTGTAAACATTTCATTTCTGTCGTGACTACTTTCCTTCTATCATCTAAAGACAGTGTCCACGTTTGACTTTGATAGAATAGCATTGGTAAGAATATTGTATGGAAGCAATGACTTGACAAATTGCCAATATCCTCGCCTTCCTCGTCCTTCTACATCACAGAGAAGCCCAACTAACCACCAGACTCCCATATTTAAATAAGGCAACAGGACACCCCCACCACCACCACCACTTTCCCAGAGCGCACGCCACCCCAGACCTGATTAATGAAAATAGGGAAACTGGAGGAGGATGAGGAGGAGTTGGGAGAGGATTTTGTCCTCCCCAACCACACAATCATTCCCATGTACAACAAAGGCGATCCAATCAATACATCTCCTAGTGGACTGGCATTAGAGCCAAGAGCCGGCTTTCTCAATTCTGGCAGATTCTTCTCAACAAATGATCCAGACAGAAGCTGCCGTTGAGTGTCTGCGCCTAGTGACTGGGCTGCCAATGATGGGTTTTTACTCCCCAGATCTTGGGTTTTCTTGGTTGAAATCTGGGGTGTTTTAAAAATATTTCCTTAAATAAAAGTGGATAAATGTTTCGTTTCATCACTATTTTTTTTTTTTTTTGTCTATGTAATGCTTGGGTTTTTGTTCAGCTTCGCTGGGTTTTTCAAAATAATCCCATTGGCACCGCTGCTAGAGAGGTCTTGAAACTCTCATTTGGTGGCTGTGTTTTCTGGTCTATATATTACATTTCATTCATTTTCATCCAGTGTAGTCGGTTCATTCTACGATATCTTTTTCTCCTTCTTTTTTCTCCTTCTTCTTCTTCACCAGCTGAAGATTCCTGCAGAATGTTCTGGGTGTTTGTCCACTAGTGGACTTTGGTCCTGTTCCAAAACCTGCATGTTTTCAGATCTGACTCATGTGCATGCAACCCGCTGGTTTCTCGCCTCTCAGACAGATGCACTCCGACTTCGAAGGAAGTCCCCAATCATTCGTCTCTTGCGACATGCTTCTGGGGAGGCAGTAGGTCTATTCTTGTTTTCTCTACAATGGAGCCTCGGAACCTACAGGGGGGGGGGGGGGGATTCCAGTGTATCTAAAACATATATTTCTCTCAGAAGTAGACTGTTTTCTGTACGTCTTTTTAGTATGGTTCCCTGGCAAGTAGACTCTATTTCTTTTATTTCGTCTCTGCATGTTTACGTCGACTGTCCTCAGTGTTTTTCGTTTATCCGTTTATTTAGTAGACTGAATTGTATAGCTTGATCTATTCTTTATTTTGTCCGCGGTTGCTTTGTGAAGTTTATTGATATAACAAGATGTGTTCACGTGCATGTTCGCGTATATACACACACTCACACAGATATATACACAAACATTAGACAGACAGACAGACAGACAGACAGACAGACAGACAGACAGACAGACAGACAGACAGACAGACAGACAGACAGACAGACAGACAGACAGACAGACAGACAGACAGACAGACAGACAGACAGACAGACAGACAGACAGACAGACAGACAGACAGACAGACAGACAGACAGACAGACAGACAGACAGACAGACAGACAGACAGACAGACAGACAGACAGACAGACAGACAGACAGACAGACAGACAGACAGACAGACAGACAGACAGACAGACAGACAGACAGACAGACAGACAGACAGACAGACAGACAGACAGACAGACAGAGAGAGAGAGAGAGAGAGAGAGAGAGAGAGAGAGAGAGAGAGAGAGATAGATAGATAGATAGATAGATAGATAGATAGATAGATAGATAGATAGATAGATAGAGATAGATAGATAGATAGATAGATAGATAGATAGATAGATAGATAGATAGATAGATAGATAGATAGATAGATAGATAGATAGATAGATAGATAGATAGATAGATAGATAGATAGATAGATAGATAGATAGATAGATAGATAGATAGATAGATAGATAGATAGATAGATAGATAGATAGATAGATAGATAGATAGATAGATAGATAGATAGATAGATAGATAGATAGATAGAGAGAGAGATAGAGAGATAGAGAGATAGATAGAGAGAGAGAGTTAGACATA